CCGCCCCCGGGCGCCACGTGACGGCTCGCACCCGGAAGCGTTGCCATGGCGGCCCCGCTGCGCGGCCTTGTGTCGGCGCTGGAGACCTACCGCGGCCGCGACCGCCTGGTGAGGGGGGCGGGGCCGAGCGGGTCACGTTACTGCTGACGCTGCGCGCTCTGTGTTACGGCTGCCAGCGGGGGGGGGGTCGGCTCCGTTGCTACGCGCAGGCGCGGGGCCAGGCTGGGCTCTGACATGGCCCCAAGGACACGCACTACACGTTACGGCTGGGGGGGGACACCAGCTAATCATCCCTCAGCAGCACCACAGATGCGCGCTCACAGTTATGGCTGCCAGTGGGACATGCAGGGGACAAGGACTGAGCTCTCCTACCCCAGCCCTGCAAACACACACTCTGTGTTACGGCTGCCGGGCAGGGGTGGGGAAGGGACACGGGCTCACGGGCCTCACCAACCCCGCAGATGCGCACTCTGTGCTACGGCTGCCAGCTGGTGGGGGGCACCGTGGCCGCGGCCCGGCAGGGCCCCGCAGAGCCCCCCCTGGCCCGGAGCCTGCTGGCGGTGTCGGCACAGCTCAGCCAGTGCCGGACGGTGCTGCGCCTCTTCGACGACCCGGCTATGCTCAGCCACAGCCGCCAGTACGGGCTGGGCGCCACGGTAGGGCGGGGCGTGGCACTAGGGTGGGGGTGGGGCACGCCGGTAGGGCCGCGTGCACTGATCCCCAACCGCCCGCAGGAGGAGGACGCGGTGGTGCGCTGGCTCTCGGTGCTGGGTAACGTGGCCGACCAGCTCTACTACCCCTGCGAGCACGTGGCCTGGGCAGCTGACGCCGGCGTGCTGCGCGCCCACTCAGAGCGGTGGTGGGCGCGGAGCACGGCCTTGTGGGGGCTCTCGCTGCTGCTGGGCATCCTGCGGTAAGGGGGCCGTCGTGTCCCGGCCCCGTCCTCTGGCCCTGAGGCAAGAGTCCCGGCCCCACGCATGCCGGCTCCTGCCCGAGGTCGGCCTCAGAGTGCTGCCCCACTCACCCCCCGCACAGGCGCCCTTGTGGCGGACTTCCATCCTCTCCTCGCAGCGCCTGGGCCCGTCCGCACTCCCTCCCCGGGGGCCCGGCTCTAGGCCTTGGCGTATACGACAAAGGTCATTTTTGTAAGGCTTCGGGCAGGCTTGTTCTCCTCGCCCTTTAGTCCTCAAGGAAGAATCTAAAAGCTTGGGTACATCTGGAGGACGCAGCAGCATGCGGCAGGTCAGGCCTGTTCTCCAGGCTGGCTCCGGTCTAGCCCCAGGCTCTCTCGGACTGTGGCTGTAGGAAAATGTGTTTCCATCCCCTGACTGTAAGCACGTGGAAACGAGGGAGGTTGTTGCCCTTTCCCCTAGGAAAGGCCAGTGCTTGCATAACGCAGCTTCCCTTAAAACAGGCTTTTAAGGCACGTCCAGGCAAGCATGCGCACGCAGGGGCCCTCTGCGGCACCTCTAAGGCTTTTCAGGGGCCACAAAACACATGCAGCGCACATAAAAAGATTCTGTGTGCTGTCTCTTTGCACGCAGCCAGAATTAGATACCGGGAAATCCCAGTATCTAAAAAAACGCACCAAAAACAAGAAAAGTGGCATGGCGCACATGGCAGCAGCGTGGGCTGCCCAAACCCAGAGCCAGGCTTCATGCACCCTGGTTGCCGCCCCAGGAAGCCCCAGGAAAGGCTGCAGGGGACGGCCCAGGTGCCGGCCTTAGCCTCTCCAGTCCCAGCGGGGCAGTTTGCAGAGCACGTGTGCAGGGGCACCCCTGGGGACAGGCAGCAACACCACAACTACGTGCCGCTGCTGTTTGTCCCTGGGGAAGGGAGCGTGTGCGCTTGTCGGGACACATCCTCAGAGTCCAAGTGACTGTGCTTGGGGGTCCCTTGGGGTGCAGATCGCTTACCAGATCCATCTCGTTTCCAGGTCTCTGAGAATCTTGTCTCGGCTGAGAAGACAGATGCGAGTGCACACTGGGTACGATCGTTCTGGCCTCTGTACTGTAGTTAGTTTAACACCAATACTCCTGTCTCCTGCAGTCGCTGGTCTGCGGGCCTCACTAAATAGTGCTTTTCAGTTTGGAACGAGAAAGGCTGATGGAACCAGGCACTCAGTAATCAGAAAATTGTCAGGTCTGTTTCTGGAGAAGTGGATGCGTCCTGGTTTCTGACTGCCGTGGAGCAGCAAACGAGGCACTTGCCAGCGTTTCCTGAAGCCTGTTGTTATCTGGTTTCCATGGGTTCCCTTTCCTAAGTGTGGCTCAGCAGGAAGGCCTGGCCATTGCAGTAGGCCTCTCCCAAATAAGCTGGGCTTTATCCCCTCGTGAGTAATCACATGCTTCAGCAAAAAGCACACGGATGCTGAGATTAGTAAGATGCAGGGCCATACCTACCGGGCACCCTTTCAGCGAAAGGGAAAAGCCAAGCCCAAAGCTGCTGGCACTGGAGAACAGTGCTCTAAGCAGATACAGGTTTTTCAGAAAAAGAGCAGACCGCTTCAATTGCGCGTCAGCAGGAAGCTTCCAGGATTAGTTGTGATGCTGCTGTTGAGGCTCACGGGCCGATCGTGGGGGGAACGGCAGCCGCGGATCCTCTTTACATGGGTTGCCCCGAGTTGCCCATGCAAACGCATCCCGTTGGCTGCAAACAAACCATTTGTTCAGCTCTTTTGTCTGTGAAAAATCACTTGCCCGTCATGGGCGTGTCAGCTGTGCGACTCCTCCAGGAGGACTGACAAAAGGCTTCTGCCTTTTCCCTTCCCACAGCGAATCCTCACAGGAGAGGCTGAAGAGGATGAAAGCCCAGATGAAGTCTGAAGTCTTGAGCATCCTCAGCAGCATGGCAGACCTCTCCAATGCCATCCACTGGCTGCCACCAGGATTTCTCTGGGCTGGACAGTTTCCTTCGTGGCTAGTGGGTCTTATGGGGACCATATCATCTCTCATTGGTGTCTACCAAACATATGTAGGGGAAAACGCTGGGACTGTGTGAACCATAAGTTCAGGTACAGGAGCCCAAGGTGTCTATGGTAAAGGTACACTTATATGGGTACAGCATTCATGCTCAGTGCCTCCTGTAATTAGGGTGTGATCACAAGGTGTCTGTAAGGAGAGGGGTTAATTCGGGTTAATGTTTTTCTGGCTCTTCTGCACCCTCAGTATATAAAGAACTATAGGACTGATGTGCCTGCTGCAAAGGCAAATGGAGCCGGGAATAGTACGGGGACAGCCTGGCTCAGGGTTTCCCAGAGACAGATAAAGCACTTCACACTTCCCACCTGCAGCCGCTGGAAGGCGAGGGCCCGTGTGCATCCTCGTGGCACAGAAACCTGGGGCTAAGAGGGGTGGGGGAATGGGAGCAGGTCTGACAGCAAAACACTAAGGGCAGGATCCTGCAGCTTGCAGCCCCACTGCCCCCCGGCCCGAGCTCAGGCTTGTGCAGTGCTGCGACAGAGCAGCCCCTGCCCCTCTGCTTCCGGTTGCCAGGACAGGCATTGCCACAGCAAGAGGCACCTGATGCGAAGCAGGTTTTACTTGTCTGCCCTCACTCCATGGATGTCTTGTTTCTTTGATCTTTAAACCTCGAACCAGAGCTTCTGCCTCAAGAGACGGATGTTCGAAGGCTGGTGTTGGTGGCGCTCACACTTGGGGTACAGGTGGGACAGGGAGGAGCTAATGATCACTGCCACCTGTCCTGGGTGGGTTTTGGGAAGCTTGCCCTTTAGTGCGTGTGGCTTCTTTGAGCAGACGTGTTAACAGCAGAGATCTTGTGGTTTGATCAGAACAAGCAAAATGGCACGGTACCTTCAGGTGATCCTCATCACGTCATGGCCGTCTCCAGCCCCTGCTCATCTGAACCAAGTTGCTTTTTAAAAAGGAATCGAATGCATTTTAATGTCGAGGGGACCAATCATGGACTGCTGAAACCAGTCGTACAACGGTCCGTTTAACTGTTTCTCTGGCTGTGTCAAATAAAGAGAGCTGAACACTTCAGGGGACTGCAGGAGTGATCATTTTTGCTATGCGCAAGACACATTTCTCTGTCTCCAAGCTGCTCCTGAACAGCTAAAAGCCAGGGGGCTGGAGCGCTGCTGTGGTAGCAGCTCCACAGTCTGCCCTCGATTGAACTTCCTGCCTTGCAGGATGCTCCAGGGTCTAACAGGCGCCAGACTGCTCGGGCCTGCAAGCTGGCGCCTCTGGACCATGCTGCCCTCCCACCAGGCCTGGCTGCACTTGTTGTAGCTCGTTAACATGCAGAGAACAGTATGACAGTCCCACTTCCTAAGAGGCTCAGCTCTCTGCCCACTTCATTCTCATCACGGGCCTGGGCAAGGCCACATATTGACCATACAGAAGGGGTCGAGAACCAGCTCTCCTGGCGTGTTGTAGCCCACCACTCTTCCCCTTCCAGCCCTGTCCCATCCCCTACCTGGTCTGGCTCATCCTGCTACTGTGGTCTCATGAAAGGGCTTGTCGCTGGTCTTTCCTGAACACTCTGCTGCTAGCTGGCAGGAAACTTGGCACCGGGTCAGGACGTGGGTAAGAGACAGATGCACGCTGGCACGGGGAGGCTCCCTGTCCTTGCACCTCCCAGCCTGCCCCAGCAAGAGGGAACCCAACTGCCCCTACTTCAGGGCCCACACCGTGGGCCCAAGGTGGCGACGAGCTGGCAGGCCCTGTACCTGTCTGCAGGAGCCAGGTGTTGGTGCCGCCACCAGGCTGGATGCCTGCTGCAGCTACTGAGACCACTGTGCTGGAGCCTGATCCTGCTGGTTCACTCCAGCACCTGCACCCGCTGTGCCCAGCAGGGGGCAGCAAGGTCAAGGCCATGGCTGGGGGGGGGGGGCCCTTTTTCACTCTTCCCCCCCCCCCACCCCGCCCGCCGGGGTCCCAGGGGGGGGGAAAAGGGGAAGCGGCGGGGGGGGGGGGGGGCCCTTTTTCACTCTTCCCCCCCCCCCACCCCGCCCGCCGGGGTCCCAGGGGGGGGGAAAAGGGGAAGCGGCGGGGGGGGGGGGGGGCCCTTTTTCACTCTTCCCCCCCCCCCACCCCGCCCGCCGGGGTCCCAGGGGGGGGGAAAAGGGGAAGCGGCGGGGGGGGGGGGGGGCACTATTCAGCTCTGACCCCTGCCCACAGCCAGGTCCGCAGCCAGGGTCTACGGGACAGAAACAGAGACCAGGCCTGGAGCAGGGGCCCCGCAGTGCGGCACAGCATTTAGGGCTCCCCGAGGCAGAGGCATCCCAAACCCCATGGTGCTCAGGTCCTTACAGGTGTTTCAGAGGGGCAGGGCTTTGCCCAGGGTCACAGGCACCAGGTGGCCCCAGCCCCTGGCACGGCCATGGCCAAGGGCTGCCTTCTCCAAGCAGGTCTGTCACTGCCCTTCATGCCTAGGCTCTCTCTGCCATCCCTGCCCAATGGGCACATCTGCACGGCAGACATTGTGCAGAGGCAGGCTCAGTCCGTGCTGCAGAGGCACTGGCTCCACGCCACGGGGCTGTGAGCACAGCTGTTTGCCAGGCATGCACCTCAGCCGTCCCTGCCTCCCTCACCCTGGAGCCTCCTTGCTCTCCAAACCACTTTGTCTGTGCCCTTCTCCTCCAGGCCTGGCTCTGCAGCTCCGCACACCCAAGGCTCCTTCCTGCAACAGCCCTGCACTTCCCAGCATGCTAAAGCAGCTGCAACAGTTCCCGTGGCTGATCCAGCTCATGGGCTGTCACCGCCCTTCCTGCATCGTGGAGCAGGTCCGCTCCCTGCCCCAGCCTCCCCTAAACTACTCCGTGCCCGGGGCAGAGCCATTGTCACCGCCTGCACGGGCAGCAAAGGCTCCTCCTGCTCAGCTGCACTTTCCTCTGGCCTGTTCTACGTTCCTCCTTGGTCTAACCGTCTGTGACCCAAGGCCGAGCTGGCCTGGCTAGGATACCTGCTGGAGTCTGAACACTGCAGTGAGAGGAGCTGCTCCCTGACTGAAGCTCATCAGAAGTGGAGCTGGCTTCGAACAATTAGACAGCAGGGTCTTGCCCATGGCAACAAAGGGCAGTAGCCAGTGAGGCAGAGCGCGCGGGGATCCCATTACTGTGGTGCAGGTTTCAGGTGGTAACTGATACCACGTGGGACGGTGCCAGGGACCTCTCACCGGGCTGGTGCAAAGTTGCTCCGGGCTGAGGCAACCCATTTCCTAGTTTCACCTTCTGGCCGGTAGGCCAAACTTCAGACATCCTGGAACGAGGCCACCTGCCTCTAAGACTCCACCTGTGCCACAAGCCCCCGACTCACCCAGCTCAGCTCCGTCCCTCTGCACTGCAGCAGCAGCAGCAGCACTGGGGCACAGGGAGGGAGTTTCCTCTTTAGGATAAGAAAAAGCAGATGCACATGAGAAATGACAGCTTCTCCAGTCAGTTTGAAGGTAGCATTAATCTCAAGTTGAAATAAAAGTGTACGAAGGCAGCTAGGTTTTGAGGGTTTTTTATTGCTAGAAGCTGGTTTCAGCTCTATTGCAGCTTTGAAATCTTCAGTGGAGAAACACTGCAATCATTGTAAAAATCATTGTTTGTGTGCAAGGATCATGTTTACAATTACCCCAGAAGTGCACAACCAAACCGAATATTAACATTTAACCATCCACTTTACAAATAAAATTAAGGACTACAAAGAGGTCGCTACTGGATTATCAACAGTACAGGAACTATGTACAATGTTTACATCCTACCAGGGGAAGCCACCAAAACACCTCCCAGCAGGTCCATCGAACCAGCCATCATGATTACTCATTAAATCATTACAGTGCAGGGGCCTCTAAACCAGACCTAAGACTAAACAGCATCAAGAGTTGAGAGCTGGGCGAGAGATCCAGCCTGCCATGAAGCCGGCGGGGCTTGCTTTCAGGAGATTCCCTTCCCTAGCACAAACAGAAGCAGACTAAAGTAAACTTTCCTAAAGTGCTCCAATTCATTCAGTACAAAAATATAAAACGCTAGTTATAAACATGGCACAACTGAATTCAACACAACATGTGCATGTGAAGGAAGAAGAGCTGCCAGCAATTAGCAGGATTTGGGGCTGGCCGGGAGAAGGGGGAAGGCTGTTACCCCACGAGCAAGGTTCGCCATCACGCCGGGGTGGGACCCACTGCAACGGGAGAGCTAGGCAGGAAGCTCGAGACCTCTAAAACAATGACCAAACGCTCCTCATTCCTTTACACAGCAGAGGCCGCACCACACCGGCTCCAAGGGAGCCAGACCTCAGGACCTGCTGGCTGAGGCGCAGGAGTTTTTTGAATAAATTTATTTTTCAACCGTTTTGCCGTCTAACCTGCTACTTCACGCTGAAGTAAACAGCAAAATACCAAGTACCATGAACAGACTCCAGGAGTTGCCTGCATCTGGCTGCAGGACTGAAAACAGAGCGTGACTCCATGCGTACGAGCAAGAGGGAACCACCCGCTTTTGTTCTTGGGTCCTCCGGCCTGTCCTGTCCCGGTATGTGCAAGCACGCATCTCGAGATAACACCGACACCGCTGCCTCAAGCCAATCACAGCAGCCACCCTGTTGGACCTGCTCCCTTCAGTTCCTAGCCGGGAGTCAGGCGCTTGCGAGCACTCCAGATGCACGCTCAGGGTGGGTCTATCCTGGCGAGATGTAGGAAACCCAAGGCATGAAACATGAGTGAAAGGACAGAGGCAGCCCTCAGGCTGGAAGTGAGCACTGGAGATCAAAGGCCAGAAGCAGCCCCCAGCATTAGGTACAAAGGAGAACTGTGGAAAGGCTGAGCAAGCGAGGCAGAAGGCAGCTCAGCTATGCTGACAACGCCCCATGCCTAAACCAAGGGGGACTGGTGGGGAACTCTGGCTTACGGGGATCGCATCCTGGCTTTGCCTCACGCTCGAAACAGAACTTGATAGAGGTTTAAAAGCACATCACTTGCCCCGTGCAGAACCGCCTCTGGGATCTCAGGTGCCTCAGGAAGCAGCTTTGCTCGAATCCCGGCAAGCCGTCCTTGCAACAAAGGCAGCCCTGGCAAACGGGAGCATCGTGGGGCCCAGAGGACTCCAGCCTGCGGAGGCACAGCCCATGTTCCTCAAAGGTCTGTCACCAGCTTCCCTCTGCTTTGTGTTTTGGAGGCAGGCGAGTGACACTGGGCTAGAGCCCTGCCCGTTTCCGTGCATGCTAGCGAGAGCACATCGCCCCCCGCTCTCTGTAATGCGTCTTCTGCAATGAGGCCAGTCTGGTTTCTTTTCTGTTTTCTTTCCTTCAACTGCCACTGGATCCAAGAGACCTAAGTGCAGAAGGGGCATGTTCCCACTCCAGGTGCAAACCACGTTGACAAGCCCTAGCGGCAGCCTGACACTGTACCAGGCGCACATGCCTACTCAGGGTGGTTTCTCAGAGACGGGTGAAAGGCCCAGAATCAGAGCAGCCTCGGGCCCACTGCAGGGATGCTGCATCGTTCCCAGCTGCTACAACTGCTCCTTTGAAGTAATGCCAGCAAAGCAAACATTTAAAAAGCAAATCAACAAACCTCTGGTTACATTTTAAACCTCATTTTTAAGCATTAAGGGCAGTGAGACTCCTTACAGGTCAGGTAGGTTCCAGATGTCACCACTGTTTCCAAGTACATTCACTGCAACGAAGGGAGCAGGTGACAGCAGCTAAAGAAACCCCTTGGCCCTTGATCTATTCTTCTCCTGCAGTACAAGGATGACACAAATCAGAGGAGCCAATTTACAAGGTTGGTTTAAAAAGCCCAACCTCACCCCCCATCCCAGGCCAGGACCAGGGGTGAGCTCCATCCCACCCATCCAGCCTAGCTCTAGGCTAAAACTCCCCCAAACCTCAGATTTGGAGGAAATATTTATGCACAATATTGACAAGGAGCAGCCCCAACCACAGCCTGAAGGAGGAAAGTCGCTGCATTCCTGCTGCTTTGACATGTTTACAAAGAAGGTGTATGCTAATCACACAAGAGGAAGGCAAGGCATTTCCTCCTGGTGTTAGGCTGGAGAGACTGGTTTTCCCTCCTATCGCTGTCCCCCGAACGATCCCTTTGGGGCATTTTGACTGCAGTCACCACTCCTCGGCCCAGGAAGTGTGCTGATGAGGTGTAGCGCACAATCGAGTACCAGACAGAGTTGTGCACTGCCGTGGAAACGTGCTGCTGCTTGAACAGAACCGTGTTAATCTCATCTCTGTGCCACAACTGGCTCGACACCGCCCCATCCACTGGAATCAACGCAGCCGTGCAATGCTTGTTATCAGTACATTACTCCAGTTGCTCCCTTTTCCCCTCATTCGAAGGCTGCAGAGCACTCCCACCTGGGACAGCAGCTTCATGATGCTCCATCGCTCGGCGTGACATCCCAGTGAGCTGGCAGGCAGGCAGAAGGTACAGGACACAAGGGACCAGGCAGGAATTAACTGACTTCATGCCGAATCTGCCTCCGTTCACACCTCTGAGAGAGATGCAATCCCAGGCTCAAAGTTCAGTTCAAACCAGTGCATGATTTTGGCTTTGGGAATCTGCACTGTACTCACCACTCAAGAGGTCTGCACCTGATGGACCCCATTTAATGCAAGGAGCTGGCCAGGGAAACGTCTCCAGCCCAGCTCTCCTGACCACAGCAGAGTTTGTACAAGTCCAACCTGTTCCATGAGGTGGAGGTCTTGCCCTTGGACTCTGGATGCTGAAAGGTTTACAGCCCCCCTCGCCCTGCCCGTGCAGGAAACACCCACCTGCTGAACTCGCTACCACATACAGCCGCCTCTTGTCATGCGAGGGGGCAGGTCACCAGCCTTGCTGCCTGCAAGAAGACGGGCTAGCTGTCCAGCTGCTATTACCCTGTGCCACTGTTCGCTGCTCTGTAAAGAGAGGTCTCAAAATGTCACAGCCATTTGATGGCCTCTCCTTAAAACTGTACATAGAAACTGAGGGGGGCGGCACGCTGACGGCTCGCCGACTCTGCAAGACGTGATCACCAGCAGCTCGGGCAGACTCAGAGAGCAAAGTACAGCGGATGGCAACATTTTAATGGGCTCTGAATGGATACACCTAAGCCAGGTACGAGACAAGACACTCCCATGCCTGGGAAAAGTTGAAAGCTAATTTGTGCTGTGGCGGTGCCCTCGTTTGGAGCTGTCAGGAAAGAAGCCAACCAAGCAACACTGAAGCCCCGCTCCAGTCCCTGCTGGTGCGAAGGGGCAGGGCAGACAGACAACCACCAGCCCCACAGGTCTCTGCCATGTTAATGCCAGATTCGAGTTCAGAGGCAGTATGGCAGGAGGTCCTTCACAAAGTGGAAACAGCTAGAAAAAAATCACATCTTCTTTGCTGCCGTCATCTTCAGGATTTATCAGGGCTGGTGGAGAGGTCACCACAGTCTGGACGTGAATGCTGTTCGGCTTGAACAGGTTCGACGATGCAGACGGGAGGGTTTCTGGCTGGGTATCTGTGGGCCCACACAACTCTGAGAGAGAGAAGAAAAATTCACCATAGCATACAACATCCCCATGCAGAAAGACAACTCGGTGCTCCGCTGGCACGTCAGTCGGGCAAGCCTTACCAGGCTGGAATGTGGCGCCCTGGTTGTTCGAAAGGATTGGGCTCCCTGACCGTCTGCTCCTCAGCACACTCTCATCTTTCCCCACAAACTTCGTTGGAAGCAGCTGTTTCAGGTCAGCAGATGCTGGAAAAAAAAAAGGTGTCAGTTATCTAGGTTGTAAGAGAAAAGGTTACTTTCCCCATTAGTATATTGTCCTGGTGACCTTTTGGAGAATCTGTGGTTTTAAGCCTGGGCCCAGCAGCATGCATCCACCTCACATGCCCAGAGTCTCGTGCTCCAACAACAGCCTTCATTTACCTTCTCGGATGCTCAAACCAGGACCCTGCTCTCTTAGTTGTACAGAGACAGCCCAGCACGCCAGTCCCCTAAAGACCACAGGTGATCTTTCTGTACTATCATACTGGTATGAACAAGACACACCTGACAGGCATGCAAGACCAATGCAGCGACTGCTGCACTCTAGACTCAGCAGCTCATCACAGCTCTGCCCTGGCATGCCCCATCTGCGGGAGCGGTAATAATGCACAACTGCTCTCACAGGCTGGCTCACCAATTTTTTAATTCAAAAGGTAAAAGCGCTGACTGGCAACCAATACATTCTGGATCCAACAGGCTTCCCCCTTCCACAGACACCATTCCTTACCCAAATTCAGCCCCCAGCACAGACTGCATCTGGTACAGAAAGGCGTATGCTATATTCTCACTTCCACACACACGCGGGCACAATGCATCAGACCTCAGCTAATCTCAGAAGCTAAATGGTCCTGTGCCCAGCTGGGGCTTGTACGGGAACCCCAGGTGCTGTGGGTGGCCTCTCTGGGGGCCCGGGGAGGAAGCATGGTCATCCCTGGCCCTGCCAGGTTATTTGTAATCTGCAGCTCCTGACACTGCTACGGGATGCATATGAAATGAATGAATGACTGTGGGTACAACTGGGATGTATCCTGCTAGTGCTGGGGCTGGAGAGTGGAACCCACCACGCTCATGAAAACCCACCAAGCTCACTGCTGATGTACAGATCAAGCCTGGATGTTGCAGCACTGAAGCTTCATTTTCCCATCTGCCAACACTTCATATTCAGTGGCAAGGAGGCCAGGCTACATTTACTTGCCAAAAGTCTAAGCAGGTTCATTGTATGAAAATCAAAGTTCCAAATCAAGGTATTAGCCACAGGCACTGTGTAGTTGGAAGATCACAGACAAGGAGGGCTGGAGGGAGCTCAGGAGGTCACGTCCAGTCCAACTCCCTGCTCCAAGCAGGACCAGCCCCAACTGCATCATCCCAGACAAGGCTTCGTCTACCTGGGTCTTCAAACCTCCAAGGATGGAGACTGCACCACCTCTTTGGGTGACCTGTTTCAGCACTTTAATACCCTCCTAGTGAGAGAGTTTTTCCTAATATCTAACCTAAACCTCCCTTGCTGCAACTTGAGCCCATTGCTCCTTCTG